ACGAGCCGAAACAAACGACTGCAGTCGAGGCAAACAAAACCCAGCCACACACATGACTCTTTTGGCTTCCAGCTCTTGAGTCCCGGACTCCGTGATAAACGTCATAAACCATGAGCTAAGTGAGTTCGCCAGGAGGTGGCTTCGTGACACGCGGAGTGAAAATGTAGACAATCATAAAACAGCCTTACAATAACTATCAAATATCAGCCGCCATGTGATCCATTTGTGGGATCAGTTAGAAGGAGTTGAAGAGCTGACATCGAATTTCACTCACGTTGCCATCGCTCGCCCAAAAACGGTTGCACAGATGCACATTTGGGAAAATGCATAACTATTTATACCAAACACGATCCGCCTGAAATGTCGGTGGAAATTAAAAGAGCAATTTTCCAATTGAATAAAGACGGCGAAAAATGACTTGAGAGGAGCAGCCAGGAGCTGGCGAGTTGGCCGCCAAAGGAAGCAAAGATCAAACAAAGATCGAACGTGTTTTGGGTGCAAAAGTCAATTAATCATTAGAGGAAAACCAACCGGGACAACAAAAGCCGATTCCATGTTGCATGTCTCTCGGTTTTGATGAGGCACAGGAAGTCCAATGTTTGTTTGCCAAAGCCTGCCGAAGTAAAAGTCCCGAGCTGTGACAATGCCAGAGTTTTATTTTGTGCAATTAACGAACATTTTCCAGATGCCGGGGACACGCTTTGGATACGGCTTTTCCAGCTTCAGCTCCAGCTCCAGCTCCAGCTGCGACTCCTGTGATCCTCGCCAGCAGATTCCAACAAGTATTCCAATTTCAGTGGGCCTTGGCGTCCATGTCGCGCGTAGGGAACTTGTTTCTGCATACTTTTTGTGTGCAGTGTGTTGATGCCTTTTTAATTGCTCTGCGCAAAGTCGCTGTTTTTTTTCCCGTCTCTATAAGCCACTATATCTAGGGTGCCCCCGCCTCCGCCCATCGAGTCATATGTACGCTGTACACTGAATACTCGAGTATGCCTGGCTTCAGTTGAGGCAGTCAGTCAGTTAGTCTGTCAAACGAGCGGCCACTCATATCGGCTTGTTTTTCATCTGCGAGGACTTTACATAATCGAACCCAGGCGACCTAAAAATAAAGGAAAAACTTGATATTGAGCAATTCTCGTTGGCCAATTAAAGGCAAATTGGGGCAACAAAAAAATTAAAAGATTGGGCTCGTATGGCAAGGCTAAGTTGTGGTTGATTTGTATTAGGTGCCTTAAGTAAACTACAAGCACTTTAATACCATCTTATTAAACTGTCAAAAGAGGGGTAATTGTAGAAACCATTAGTGCCTAATACAGAAGTTACTTGCCGCGGGTTAGGGCACATTTGCAAGCTATATCAAACTTATATAAGCAGTTCCCAGCCAAAGAAGGCCATTAGGCACTACGAGCTAAGCTCACTTTTTATGCTCCCAACACGACATTATCTTCAGCTCTTCCACAACTGCCATTTAGTTGTCACTGATCTATCGCAGACATCTTGGCCCATTTGATCTTATCTCCTGAAGCAAGATCTCTTCAACTTGTCGTTGGCTGATCGCATAAACGAAGCCATCGAGCAATCGTATCTGCAAGTTGAAGATCACTTTGATTTCATTAACCCCCGACCAAAAGCAGTCACAACGAACTCAAATAAGAGCACCTGTAAATCACCAGTTCGCTGTGAACCTTTCACACTTCCAATCGAAATGGAAATGGAAAACGAAAGTGATCCGAACCGAAATGGATACAAATCGAGACTCTAATTGTTAGATTGTCTTCCTCGGTTTATGGCCTGTCGCAGCTGGAAGCGGGCCTAATTGAGTTGCGAATAAAATGGAGCTGTAAACATATCAATTATCCAGCCGACCTGCCGCTGTCCGAAGCATTCGTTTTGGCCCAATTATCGCCAGTCGGCCACCAAACTGCCATATAGATGTGCACATGTGGCTCTTACGCACGGCGTATATTACCCATTACACACTCTTACCCGATTTTCCCCTTCGACTGCGCCTATTTCGCCTGTTTACTCTCGTTTCCTCTGCTTCCTCTGTTTGCTTGCTGCAACTGCAGTGGCAACTGCAATGGCAAAAGTTAGTTTGGAAGATTTATCGTCAGGCGATTCACTCATTACGCCGATTCTCACTTTTTCCTTCCTCACCGAGCTCCCGACATGTGGCTGGCATTTTATCAAAATCGAATCTGCGGCATTTCATTCCAGTCTTGGCTGCCCCATAGTTGCAGCCCACACATCCCAAGTTGTGGCCACACACGGGGGTATATCGACTACTTGAACAGAGGTGTATCAGATCGTATGAGACGAGGTTCTTTAAGGAGTCCTTTCCCTTACATTTTTAACTGTATTTTTAACTGGTATTTTGAGCGACTTATTATCTTTTGCAAAGAATACTTTTAGTTGGTAGGCAGGGTGTAGGAAAGTGACCTTAGTGTGGGCTCAGATTTGATTTTATTCGACTGTGCTCGGCTGCTTTCGACGTGTGTTGCCACTTTCGAGTTGCAGTGGCAGAGTTGGTCATTGTTTTGCGGCAAGGAGAAGAGCCGTCGCAGTTGGAAGTCGCGTCATAGCTGAGGAAAGCATTTTATCTATGAGTTGTCAATGCTCAACTGCCAGGCATTGTTTTTACTGCTTTGCTGTTTGCTGTGTCGATTTTGCTGGCTTCGCGTAGCCGGCACCGAAAGTGAATCTCAAATATTTCTTGATGGCTATCTCGGCTGGAAAAGCGCCAAGGATGGCGTCTCGTTTGGGGCATGTGGATGTGGATGGTGGCACCCATGTTCGATGCACGTCAACAGAATTTGCGAACAAGGTCATGGGAGCTGGCCAAAGGGGTGATGGCTGGGAGGGGTTTCGAGAGGGGGCCTGTCCATAACACATATCGTCGGCATCTCGAGGCTCATTTGGTGGAGATTTTCCGTTGCGGAGTGCCAGAGTTTTGCTTTGTTTTGTTTTGCCAACGCATTTCACTTTCTATTGCACTTCGAATGCATTTCTCCCTCTTTCGCTTTCGTTTGAGTTTCGTCAATGAATCAAGAGGGTTTCAGCTTAAATCTCCATCGAGCTGGTTCTTTTCCCGTGAACTAACGAATCAAGATCTCTTCTTTCGGTCGAGAGTTCTGTGAAAGCTCTTGATGTCAGCTTTGTTGGCATTTCGGTGCCTTTGTTTTTGTTAGGGCAGCCGAAAATGTTGCATTTGCGTCTCACCTGACAGAATTTCCGTCTGTTCCGCATCTGAGTTTTGCACGTTTGGATTGAATTTCAGCTGGGCGGCAAAAAAGAAGCGAAACAATAGAGGCGGGTAAGTGGAGAATGTGCTGGGTGTTTGAATAAAGAGGGTTCTACAATTACTCGAAAGAATGTGCTTAAAACTGAATGGAAATCACGGCAGTACAGTTGCGCATAAGCTCATTAAATAACGAATATACCTACAAAGTCATGGGTAATAGTATGTAGCATTTTTCAGACCACCTCATTTAGGGCTTTTATCGCAGCTGGCATGTGTCGGATACTTTAAGGAGCCACAGGAAAATTTCCCACTCAACCAGAAACAAGGCTTTGAATTTCCAGCCCGGTCGGGAAAACCTCCCAACTGCGAGGCCGACTGGGAAAGGGATCCAATTATCGCCTGGAGACCTTGTCGTCGTCGTCATTTCTGGCTTTGTTGCTGCTGTCGACCGATCGTCGGATCGGCGTTTGTGCCCATTTCCGACTTAACAGCTTGACCACAGATGCCCCTGCTGCCCCGCTGCCCAACTCCTTTTTGTGTATTTTTTGTTTATTGTTTGTTCATTTTTTCTATTTCTCCTTTTCTGTGACTTTGTGCTGAGTATTTTTACTTATTTTGGTTCGTGCAAATTTCGCTGAGCTTGCAGTTATTTGCTGCTGCTGCTGCTGCTGCTGTTGCTTTTTTACAAATTGCCTGTAAATGATATTTTCACAACTCGCATCGATTGACTGGCTTACTGACCCCCCGCCCCCGGAAAGCGAGAGAGTTCGCCGGGGTTAATGCGACCAATAAATTGTTGTTGCCGATTTCGGCTCTTGATGCCCGATGCTTTATGAGCCACATTCTGCCTCTCTTTTCCACCCGTAAAATGCAATTTTGGGTCGGGAATGCCGTTTTGGCCGTTGAGGCTAACGGCAAATGACGGGAAATATTGAAATTTCGCAGCGTAAAATTGTTTTCAATTTAATCGACATTGTTCAATTTTTCATGTCCAGCTCGTCGGGGAGTTGCAGTTTCTCGTTTCCTCTCCTTTTCCGTTTGTGCAATTTGAGTGCAAATATAATTAATGATAATGAATTGTTATGCGAGACGCCCTCGGTCAAATCTGCGCCAAAAACAGCCAATAATAAAAAAAAAACAAAAAAATGTCGTGCAGCGGTCGGAGTTTGTGGGAGTTTGTGGCAAGTATCTGACTTTTTTCCGCGGGTTTTCGGTGCAGCTGATTTATCACTGGAGACAGCTCCGAGGTTGCGGCGAAAGGTTGCCATAAAAATGTTGGGGCAATAAAACTTAAGACCCAGAAGTTGGAGCTGGCAATACCCTTCTTTTGGTATATATTATTATATATTATATTCCTTAAGAAATATCAGTTGTTCATCGTTTATGAAGAGTTTGAAACAAGCTGGAACACACCAGCAATTCCTCCACTTGAAGTCGAAAACTAATTTCGAGCTGGCCATCGGATTCATGACGCCCCCTGCTAGGGTATCCAAATGTAGCCAAGCAAATATTGGCGGGTAAAAGTGCCTGTTTTGTGGCTCAGTTTCTGCGTTTGGCTTTCCATTATGCAATGCCTGTGCCAAGTGCTAATATCAAAAACATTGGTAAACAATTTTCCCATTTTCCTACGCTATGCTATCTAGCCATGGCTGGTGTCATTAGTCAAACTCCGTTTCCGCTCCGTTCAAACATTTCACATCAATTCGCTTGTTTGTCTTAACACGCGTTTATTTATCATCTCTCCTTTATCTCGTTTCAGCCGAAAGTGAATTGAATGGCATCGACTGGATCCGATGGATATGTGCTCGCCGCAAAGTCACTGAATGAATTTCGACTTTCGCACAATTTGCGCGCTTTTCACACTCGATTATGTGAGTAATTGTCTGTTAATTAACTTTGCGATGGCTTTTGGGGAGAAAAATGGAGAAATAGATGTGTTTTTAAGCGTTTCCATTCGTATCTCTCAATCTGCAGCTGCCATGCGAGATTCGTAATGGGTTAATTAAGAGAGATCATTCGCAGTGAAGTGGTAGCAACTAGGAAGTGGGCCAAATCAAAGTTCAAGGCGAATTTAAGGTTCAGCGGGGAGGATAAAGTCAGTAGAGGTGTGAGGGCATCGAAACATTCCTCTTTCTTTCCATAACATATTTTACTTACTTATGTTTTACTAATTTGCTCGGTATTATACATAGGCTCCACTTAGTTTCCGCTGGCTAATTAGCTTCTCTGCAGCACTTGGTAGTGTTTTTAAATTTATGTGTTGTGCCTTTCTCGCACCACTTAACCCACTAATTTGCTAGCATATTGCCGGCTGATCGACCAGATTGGGGGTGTGACTGTGGGTTATTTACTGCTTCGCCACCTGTCATCCGGCGAAAGAGTTACCGCCGCCTGTTCGTTTGGTGGGTCAGTGGTCATAAGAAACCACTTCCCCTGCCTGGAGGCGTGGCCAAATCGGGACTAGTTTTACCAAATCCATTTTTTGTTGTGCTCTGTAGCTTTGATTGCCTTTCTGTGTGTCATGTGTGTAGTGTGGTGGGGACCCCAAAAACGATCCGCAGAACACACGGAAAACGTGTTCGAACCGCAAAAACAGACAAAACACAAAACATTTATCATATGCCCAGGAATGTAGACAAGTGTTCGGTGTTAGAGGGGGAACGAAGTGAGGGGAAGTGGACTGAAGCCAAAATGTTTATGGGTTGTAGACAAATTTTGTTAGCGACAACTTAAAAGCCGCAAACTGTCGTACGGCGCCAAAGTACTTTTTATAGTAACAGTGTACTACCAAGACATAATTTCCAAAAATACACGATATTGTATATCGAAAGAAAGGGTGTTTTGGGAGGTGGCTATACAATGCTCGCATGTTAACCAAATTTGTCCCCACTTTCAGAGATACGATAACTTTCGTTGTTTTCGTGCTCTCCCTTACTTTTTCATTGGCGGACCACTTCTCTAATTGCTCTTGCATCGAAAGTCCAGAGGAGTGTAGCCAGCCAAAAAGTTTCCTTTTGTTTTGGCCTGGCTAAGTTGGTCCTCCGTTCACTGTCTTTATTCCGTAACCATGTTCCACGTCGCCATATGTCGCACTACACTTGCAGTTGGTTTTATTGGTATTTCATTTTGGCCCCTTTTTGTAGGAGAACTTTGGGCGGAGAACTTAACATATGTTAAGGTTTTAGTCATGAGTAGCAAAATAAACATTAATAAACTAAAAAGCCAGACTAGTATAGAAGTATATAGTGCAGAAAGGAATGCTTATGGCTCGGTGAGAAACTATGGACAACAATTGTTGGCCATACAAGTGGGAGAAAGAAGACTTGGCAATAGATGACCAAATGAAGAAGGTAAATAACAGGAAATTAGCAAGAAACTGCTAAGCATCGAGATAGTCTATCAAGTAGCGAAAAAGTGATTATCAAATATAAACCTGTTTAGCTTAAATTGGAGCGTAGTTCACACTGTGGCAACCAGATAAAACCCTTTTCGAACCAGATCAGTAGCCACGATAGGTTCAGTTATCTCATGTACTGGGCGATAAAAGTTTGTCAAAGCCAGACACGACCACAACAAATTAAACAATTCATTGTCTTTGTGGCAACACAAAAAAGTATGACTTTGTGGGCAGACCCCCTTAATTTAAAGTAGGTTGCACTGGACCACATATTGTGATTGTTTCTGTGTTTTTTTCCGTTTCTGCGGTTGCGCGGTGGCTGCTCCAATGCCTTTGCCACGAAGTTGGTTTACAAGTCAATATGGTTATTGTTATTGTCGCCAGATTGCCAGCGATTTGGCCAGCACTCACGTGTGCCAAAAGTGACGCCGCCTCCCCTCTCCACTCCACTCCTGTGTGTCCCTGCAGTTGACAATTCATTAGGTGCTGCTGCTGCAAGAGCAGCTGTTGCAGTTGCTGCAGCAACTGTCTTTGGCAATTGGCAACTTATGGCAGGCTGCCTGCCTTTGGAGGAGACCCCTCCAATCATGGCTTTCGGCCTGGTCAACTCGGCTTGAATGGCCAAATCGGTGGAACACAGCGCTGGCAGTGCCAACGCGATTCTTAGAAGAATTCGCAGATAAGTCGGTTGCCTGCCTGCTGGTTCGTATAAAATATAGCTGCGCCGGCTGCAATATATAAACAATATTTTAATTACGCTTTGGTCTGCGGAATGTCGATTTCCTCGGTCTGGGTCTCCTCGATTGTCCAACACTGTGGCCGACTTGGTGTCTGCGAGCGATTTCAGCTTTTGCAATTAGAGATGGTATTTCTGATCGACTGCTACAAAGTATTCAATTAAATAAACACTGTTTCTAGGTTCAGATTCTATTATATGTGTTAATTATTATACTGATGATGTTGAAATGGTTCTTTACATTTTTTTGTTGCTTATTTCTGTTACTCATGACTTCACACTCAAAATCAGCTGATGACTAAATTATGGCCAAGTTGGCGCACTGCCAAGACTTATTGTGGCCAACTATACGATTTTCGGTGTCTTATCTCGACTGGGGCCCCAGATAGTGATATTGAATTGATTTCATTTCGGGCCACTCGAGTGTCGCGGAATTGCCTTATCACCTCTATCTAATCTTGGGGCACGAGTAAAGTTCATCGAAAACTGGGCAAACAAAATAATTGGCTGCCAATTACTGGCACTTGATTTGCTTTAGTTGGTCGCAGAGTTTTCCAGCGTGTGAATAAACAGCGATTTAGTATGTGGGCATCCGGTTTTCGGGGTTCTCTGTTCTCATTTCTTTTGTAATGCACCAAATGTTTGGCAGATAAAGAGCGAAACGGAAGTGAGTGGAGTTCAAAGTGAGTCAAAATGAAGTGTAAAGGCTGGGAGCGAGAACAAAGAAAGTTTTGTTCTTCAAGGGAAATCAGGGAAATCATTTGTAAGCATAAGTGAATGGTCAAGTGAGTTATCAATGGTTTTCTCAGTTGAAAAGTACATTGGGTGCTGTTAAACGAGCAAGGCACTCATGCGATATCAACAGATTTGCAATTTCAACAGCATTTAGAGATTTATGAGCTGCGATACTCCATTGAAGATCGAAAGTTTTGCTTATCCAAAAAAGAAGCGATTCCAAGACCCAGAAATAGATTCTATTGTCATATCTCCCGGCATTTTATAGCGATGAACAATGAGCCCTGGCAGATTTACGAGCTTCTCGAAAACTTCGTGTCTGGCATGGGCAATGTGGAGGGACCTTCGCTGTGGAAGACCCCTTCCGCTGAAACCACTCCCCACAATCCAATCCACATGTTTGTTGACTTCATTTTGGTTGCGTTGGCTTATTTTTACGCAAATATTTGTCTATTTTCAGCCCTTCCTTTTGGCTGCCCCTTTACCGCGGCTCCTCTTTGTGCTTATTAATGGCCTCTGCTTTGGCTGCTTCTTCTGCTTCTTCTGCTCTGGGGTCTCCGATCTCTGGGGTCTCAGATCTCCGAGGTCTGTGGGCCTTGTGGCCAACTTTATGTTCCACATGTTTTGCTCGGGCTTTTGACTTTGGCTTCGTTTCACTCGAAGATCGGTTTTCTTTGGAACTTTTGCGGTATTACCGCATGCTTACAGGTGTCTTATGCAAGAGTTCAACAGGTGGTTAAACAAAGTCAAGAAAAGATTGAAAAGAAAACTCTCCAGGGCAAAGTGAGTTATTATCTGAAAGTGTTAGATATTTGGTAGAGGCATAATGAGGGAATCACTTTGCATATTTGTGCAGCTTAAATCGTGGCTCTATTGTGCTGTGCAGGCTGAAAAGATTGTAAATGCTTCGTTTGATTGTCAAAGAGTCACTGATTGCCGGTTTCAATTTGGAATTAACAATGATAACTCGGAATTTGTGGCACTCATAAACTTAAATATTTAGCTTGTGCCATTTCCATGCGGAAGCTTAGGCCTGAAACTTGAACAAATTAAACTGGAAATTTGCCATTTCCCAAATGACTAAGTTGCCAAGGGGAGGAATTCGAATACTGTTTCTACTTTTTCAACGCGGTCGCAAATGCGAATGCAACTCCCATTTTGCATGCAGGCCGAGTGAAATTTGCATAAAATGGAGTCGTCAGACGACAGCGTCCCCCATTTTACTTTCTGAGTCATAAAGCAAACATTCGATTTTATGGCCGGCACATAAAAGAGTAAAGGCCTCTGCCGCGTTTATTACTTAATTATGTAATTAATATGTCTGAGGCTCGCAAAAAACCATAAGTATATTCCGGAAAATAATGGTTGTTTAAAACGGAAAAAGAATTTTAAAATAAGGTGAACTAGGAATTACAGTGTATGGTAAACAACATAAATGCGGCGAAGTTCCGTTCAGAATTCAACAACACTACTAATTATTTTTATGTGATTAGAAAAGTCTGCTTCGGGCCACTTTGTTATATGGATTTATTATATGGATAATTCAGAAGTCGATCATTACTCCAATCACCGATTGAAATGGGCCTAAACTTCAATTTGCGTTTGATTTTTTAGCCTTTTCTTTTAGCCGAAAGGCCTGGGAACTCTATTTACAGCTCTTAGCATTGATTGGTTTTTCGGGGCACGCCCTTCCCCCTCAATTACAACCACATCCACCCACTTTCTGTTGGCGAATTTATTATTCATTTTCCCCCTTTGGTATCCGGCGCTCAAGTGGCTAAATGAACGCTGGCAGGCCACTTTTGGAGTTGGACAACTTCCACCGCCTTTTCGCCAACCAATTTGCATACGAATATGGCCCACAACTGTTTTTCGCGACAAATTTCGTATGAAAATTTGATTGCACTGCGATTAGAATCGCGTTCATTGTTTAATATTCCTCGCTGTGTTTGTTCGGAAGTCGTTGACCAAAGCCAAAGCTCTGAAATTAAGTAATATTTTGCATACGTAATTACTATAATTTCCCCCTTTCCCGCCAACTTCTTCTCTTCCCGCCGTCATTGTAAAGTAGTTGTAAAGTTAGCTGCTTTTAATTGCCGTTTAGAGTTTCGTTTTGTTTGCTTGCAGTGGGTGTGATGATATGTGATACGAGATATGAGGCTCTGATGGGGCCGCTGCACTCGGCTGAGGTTCTACGAGAGATAATTATGCAAAAGTCTGAGGAGAATGGAGGTTGGGGTTGAGATAGGCGGTTGTTTCCTCACAGCAAGCGTGTTGCAACATCTAGCTCTCACAGTGCTGTTATACCAGAAAATGTCGGATTAAATAGTGGGTTAAATGGGGAAACAATAAGTTATCTGCCTGTAAATCCACAATATGTTTGTTACGCTCCTAGTGCCCCTTTGAAAACTTCGCTTTTTCCGGCTGAACGGTCAGTGGTCATTGAAATTCTTCATTAACGAAATGCACCTGGTAGCAACTAATGAGGTCCGCCTATTGCAGAAGATGCTGCAAAGAAATGCTGTCGGAAATGAATCCATATTAAAGAGAGACCCAGTACAATTCGCTTTCTGATTTTAATGGCTTGCCTATAGTAATAATACCCATCATTAGTAGAAGGAAAATGAGAAACGAATAACTGCAGTGCACTGCTAATTATGCTGCCCCATGAGGTGGTCCCTCTCGTATCATAATCATAATCATAATCATCATAATCACCATTTCATCTCCGCCCTGCTATTTTCCTCCTAATTCGTTTGATTTCCTTTCAAATAATGTGCAATTTCCCCTGCTCTCTTATTTCGTTTCAGTGGAATTGAATTAGATACGCAAACTAACCGACATTTTATCAAAATAACGAAACAAGTATTTTGCATAAAAACGAACGGAAATCGAAAGGAACGCCCTGAAGGTCATTGCCAGGGAGCGGAACGCCGGCATCGAAACGGAAAAAAAATGCAAATAAGAGGAAGCCAGGCAGACATGCAAATATTGGGCGAATTTTGAGGGGTTTGATTAACATAACTCGCTCTCTAAATAACATATAGTACATCCCCCCATGCACACGCCCCATGGAATATAAAGCCAAATAAGGTTGGTAAACAATGGAAATGCAACAGGAAAGCGAAACGGGTGGAGAAGGGGTAGTCCCGAAACCAGAGAAAGAAGTAGCGTTGATAAGTAACCAAGAGACTGAAAAAGCGGCCATGTTAAATGGTGGAAAAGAAGGTTCGGCGAGGGATTCGGAGTCCCCAAACGAAACCGCCACCACCACCCGAAATAAGGAGCACACAACGAAACCCCTTAAACTGGATGGCATTTTTGCCATGCCAGCCACTCCCCCAAATAAGGCCGGCCTAACCACTAAATCGGCCAGCAGTAGCCGTAGCAGCTCCCTCAAAAAGCAGAGGCGAGGATCCCGAGGAGGTGCCAATTTGAATGTAGCGGGCACGGTGGATGGAGCTCCTAAAAGCAGCGCCCCTGGCGGCGGACAGCTAAACTACGGCAACAACAGTGCTGGAAACGACCTTATGAAGCAATCGCAGTCCATGACGTCACTGCAGGCCTCAAATGAGGAACAGCAGGAGAGTCGTGACGTCATCCAGGCCAAACTTCACCTGGAACGGCCCTACAACAGCCTCAAGGTGAGTGATCCCAAAAATGGGCATGTGTTTTGGGGGCGGTGAGGGGAGTAGTACGGGTCGGGTGTACAACAGGTAATGGCCGTATCGTGTGCGCATAAATTTGCAATTGATCATGCAATTGATAGTGGGCTCCGCCTAAGCCAATACCCTTTCTCAGAATGTTACGAAAAAAATACAAAACTTGTGTACACTCATCGTATTTAAAAGTAGAACCAGTAAATTAGGATGGAAGCCTCTCATTAAATATAGGATTTTGAGCAAATGGAGCTAGAGTATTTTATGTTTGATATACATAGTTTAGTAACTTACTCCTCCATACCTGTTGCACTTTTAGACTTCGTTCAACACGCTAACGAGTTTGGTCTCTTAAAATGACAAGTGGCCGTTAGATTTTTAGCTCTCTTGTTCTTAGTTTCCGTCTGTGTCAGAGGAAATTGCTTTAATAAATTAATAATTAGCATGCCTGTATGAAACCGAGTTGCAACGGTTAAAAATGCGCAACTAAGTTGGCGCCACTGGCCATGGACACAAATTGCTAATTTATGCTCCAAACTGGAATGTTGAAACAGGCCTCTATTCTTCTTTTACGGAGGCGGAAAATGATCATACTGCTAAGAAATGTGTATTGGCGTTCTAGAGTGTAGTTAGAAAATCAAAGACTTTGGTTGTGATTGCTAAGTTTAAGTACATTTATTTTAAAATTCGTAACACTGTCCAATAGATGGTCAAAATAAAAACAAAAGTGTTAAGGTTCAGTGGCGGAAGAGGGCGTGCCGAAATCGTTCAAGTAAATCTTATCAGCGTGGGGCTAACACAAAATCAGCATACCAAATAGTTTTTTGGTCCAGTTCTCACAGTCATGGAGATTTATATACGTTATTCCTCGATAGAAATCTGTTGAGCTTTACAAGACCGAGACGACAGAGATATAGTTTTCAAGGCCTCCAGGTGTCACAGCTTGCATATTTTACAGCTTATTTGTCCACAGACTTTTCTTAGTCACTGTGGGCGAGTTTTTGCCCGAAATGCGAGTCACTCGGCGATAAATCCCACCCCACACCACTTTTTCTACTCATTCATTTAATCAATTACTGAAATCGGCAGAAACAGCAAGCACACAATTTCATTTTAAATTTCGTTTGCTTTTGGGAATATGATTGTGTAAATAAGGAATTTCCTTCCACGATTTCAGCGCAAAACTGAGACTTTCTTGGACAAATGAGCAAAATGCATTAATTAATTGCGCGCGCTTTGCAATTTGAAGCGAATAAAAACCAGTTTCCTTTGGCTTAGAGTCGGGAATCTGAAACGCAAGCTCCCAAGATGGCCAAGCATATTGTTTCGGCCGTATTTGGCACGCCTCAAATTACTTATTTATTAAAAACTTTAAGCGGCTTCCCCTTCCTCTGTTTCTCTGTTCACTTTTGGTGTTTGCCACTTCAGCGGCTTTGTTTCGAGATGCTTAAGTCAATCAACATTTGTCAACATTTTTTTGTTTGCAGTAGAAATGGTTCGAACTTGGGTTTTTGTTTTGGGTTTTTTAAATATTATTCGTACATAAGACTTAAAAATAAACTTTGAAATATTTTTAAAACCCTGTTATCATTTATCAGAATTTAAGCCTAAAATTTATCTATTTTACACTTTCAGAAAAACTCGCATAGCAATAAAATGCACCGTTATTCGTGGGGAAGCGGAAACAGTCAATGCAGTTCCACCAGTCTGCACAGCAGCGCCACCTTGGGGCTGAGCTCGTCTGGCAAAGACGACCTCTGGGCGGCCATACAAACGAACTACAACTACATCATGGACACGAACCTCTTGGACACTTGTAAGGAGGCGCGCTGTGAGATAGAGGGCGCTGCCACGGTGTTGGAGAAGTCCAGTGAATGTTGCTTTAAGGTAGGAAAAAATCGAAAGAACTTATTTAAGCATTAATATAATTTATGAATCCACCTATTCATTAGATGCTCGATGAGACCCAACGTCCGGAGGGTCTCTGTGAGGATCCCAAGGAGTTGCGGCGTTGGCTGCGCGAAATGGAGAATAAATTGGAGAGTTCGCCGACAATCACAGAGCTGACTTTGTTTGGCAACGCGGAATTGCAGCGCCACCTAGCAGTACACTCGGTAAGCAACCATTTTACTTGACATCATTTTTGCTGCATACTTTGAGGCTCGAAGAAATACTTTGAAATTGCATTGTCTAATTTTCTGCAACTTTTTCGTTGTTTAAACCATGGAACTAACCTAGATGAAATCTTAAAATATTTGTAAATTGCACTTTAAATTGTTCGTAACGATGCAATGATTGAGAAATGTTTGGCAACTGCCAATAATGATTATTTTCAAGATTATTTTAATCTCGTGAGGTAAAAGTGTAGCCAATCGTAAACAGCTCGAAAAAGGCAATTTTACGCATATTGTTTTATTGTTTTCCATATGCGCCCCAATGACTTGTGTTTTTGCCCCTTTTCTTCACTCTTTTTTGAGTTTTCCTCCACCAGCGGCTTCCGTTAGTGCGTCTCGAAATTGTGCAACTAGTATTGTACCTCAAAGAGCGAGAAAATACCAAATCCGTCAGTCATTCTCGTTGCCCCCGACGACTGTTTGAAGCCCCTCCATTGGCTTCCCCTCGAAAATCAGACAACAATGTTCCCTTGTTTCTTCGGTCTTTTTCTTGTTTTTTTTTATTTTGTTACGAAAATTTATTGAACTGAAAGTGAAAACTGCTGCGAGGGAGAGGAAGGGGTCTCGAGATAACCTCCTCGAACCCCTGCTTGATAATTGGCATTCGGACGTTTGTAACACCTTCAATCGAGACTGAATTCAAAGTCTCTGAATTGCCCACAGATTTGTTTCTGCACTTTTCGGTTTTCTTTTTTTTTTTTTTCGAATTTCTGTGATTTAGGGGGATTTTTATCTGAACAATATTGTCTATGAACAAGGCTCTTGGCTCCCCATATTATGTAATTGTGTGTGAGTTTGGAAAATCTAAGACGGAAGAGTGTCTGTGGCTTGGTCTCCGCCTCTGGCTGTGATTTGTGTCCGATGCAGTTGAGCTTTGACCGTGACAGAAGTTAATCGGTGCAAGGAGGAAAGGCTCGAATTATTGGGAATTTCATGATTATAATAGTAGAATTTCTTATGCAACAAATGTATGCTTTTCAGAGATTTTGGAGTGTTTAGTATTACATACTTTTAACTTCCTCTTCCCTTACATAATGTAAAACACAAAGACTTTCATTCCCCACTTTCTTGACCCATTCAGGAATTATTTTCTATTTTTTGGCTAATTGAAAATGCCTTTTCAATGGAATTCATTGAGCACATTCGCTCTTTTTGCTCACCAAAAATCGAAGGAAAAGCGCAGCCGGCCACGAGCCAAATGAAAGTAAACAAAGCCAGCAGGCCAGACGAAAACTCTATAAAACTAAAGATTGCATTGTGGGCAGTTAGCCGAAAAATGCTCAAGACAAAAGTTTAGCTGGCTGCCCCTGATTTACGACAATTGTTTTGTCACGCTGTCGATGGGAGAAAGAGAGTCTCGCAGATAGAGCTTTGCAGCATCGACCGACGGCAGCAAATGTCAATTGCCCAAAATGGTTAAACATATTTCCAATAAGTTGTTAGGCGTTTGTCTCTGTCAATTGTGTGCGGCTGCAGTTGTTGCTTCTGCAGTTCCCGGGGGCGGAGACACGCATTCGGTGTCCAGGTCCCAACTGCTAACTAGAGTTCCACTTCCAATTGCAACTCCACAAACCGACAAACCGATCGACGCAATCAAGCCCCACAGCCACTGGCCAAAGACCAAGTGAATGGAGTGGCAGCCGGGGAAGATGGCGATCGAGATTGGGTCTGAGACTTAGATTGAGATTGAGAGATGATCGCCGTGAAGCAAAATCCAAAATTTGTCAGCTGCCGGACAATGTCGGTGGCCATAACGAGCTGAGATCTCTGCTGGTTCCCCAAGGTGCTGGCTGCAATCTCCTTTTAAGTTGGAAACCAACCCACCCAGTGGCCATGCATTTCGATGCTTGAAATTTATTTGTGTTATGTGGGAAAAAGTTTAGGGAGGACTTACTAGAGAGCTCATAGGAATGCTCCATGGGATGCGCCCAAACTCGGCCAGTTTCTCCAAAGTTAATAGAATTTTTCCACCATACAAGCTTACTGCCAACCATCTGGTAGCTTCTCCACTAAGTTGTTGAAACCCTATGGTAATCGACGATCAACTCTTTAGCAAGCACACGGTCTAATGGCCAACCATTGTGTTTTCGGCATTCGCTGTTCTGGTCAACTGAGGCGTAAACACTCATGTTCCCTGTCGCCTAAACGACAGGATGTCTTTGTTTCCGACAAACCTGGGCCTCCAAAAATGGTCAAGACAAGCAGCAGCAGCAGCAGCAGGCAGCATGATAAAGCGGGAAAATAAGTTTGTTTTCCCTGGAAAAGCCGCAGGAAAAGTGAAGGTGGTGCAATTTGGAGTCTGGCCGCGCGATTAGCTAAGCGCTGCGACCATATAATCGCATTGACAATTTCGGAAAAAATTTTTGTGCGGGAGTCGAGGAAGTGCTCCACTTTATGGCAGTCATAATTTCATGTTTGAATGTTTCGCCTCGACAGGATTCGGATTGGGGATTTTTGAATTTCGATTTGGTCCGCTGCCGCTGCCGCTGCTCGATGTCCGGCTGCTGGCTTGTCCGATTCTATCGAATGGGTAATGGGTGTCCATTGTGTTTGTGTGTTTGCGGCAATCTCCCTCCGCCAGATTTGCATAACAATTGCTGACTGTAACCTTTCGCCCAATAAGTTGGCTGCAGCTCCAGCCTGGAGTTTCAGTCTGGACTTGGAGTCCGACTCGGATGCGGCCCATGTGGCCAGCTGCAGTTGCTGGGCGGCAATAAAACATTTACCACCGAATTAGCCCAGTCGGAGAGTAGTTAGTGCAAGACCACTTAAAATTCAGTTACGACTGCTGTCCAGTTCGGTTCGGCTATAGTTCAACTTTCGCGTTAGATGAACCTTTAATAAACTTTCCATTTTATTTGGCATAGTTTAGTCGAACTTGGGAGTTACTAAACCGTAATGTGCAGTCACGTGCAGTCATTCAGCAATTGAGGTGTTGATTAATGCCACGAGGTACTAAAAGCAATTAGGTGTGTTTGAAGTTGAATTTGGATTAAAAAGTGCTTTGCTATTTGACATTGAGTTGCAACTAGATTACATTATTACCACCACATCGAAGCTGAAAGCCTGGTCAACTGTGGCTCAAAGTATTTGTATCTCGCTCAAAGCCCAATCCGATCGGAAAACCTTTCTTTCCTTCTTCGAGCCGAAACACGCTCAATTCCACAAGAGAATAACACACGAGACAGAGATGAACTGGGGTCTCTCAAGTTCAATTGAGTTTCACTTTTCTTCGTGATTTAAATTAACAATTACAGCGGATAATTAACAAAATGAAAACAAAAGCAGGCACACCACATCGAAGGCAACTCCCCTGAGCGGCCAAGAAAAATATTATTAAAACTGTTGGATAATTTATCAAATGAACTGCGGATCTCGGGTAGCTGGGCGACGATGAAGTCATTACCACAGACAAAAAAACCACACAAAAGGAGAGACAGGCCCAAAAAAGAAAAGACTACGTCACATGTGAAGCGGATCAAATGATTTCGTCATAATCGAGCAGCAAATTACTATTTTTCCCCTAATAGAGAAATAAAATTGCCAAACTCTGGGCGAGAAATTTACTACAAACTGGGAAGGAAGTGGAAGCTGAATGTGGTAGCAGCAGGCTGAAAAACTGAACTGAACTGAATTGAAACTGAAAATGAAACCGAAACCGAAATGAATTGTGGGGAAAATTAAGAAGAAAACGCTAGCCATAAATCTTTTGGCAAATAGAAAAAACAAAAGCGGCCACAAAAAGGCCCCAAAAGCATGTTCACAAAATTGACTTTCGAACACAATTTATTTTTATATTTTTGTCTGCTTATTTCTATGGTTTTTTACCAAATCGCTTGAGACTTTTTCTAGCTTTTTCAGCGATTTAATAACCGAATAAAGCCCCAAATAAAAAACAATGAAAAATTCATGTACGATCCATTCAGGTTCATCATTGACGCGAGTTCGAACCGCAACCGGGGGAAAATCCAAAGGGAAAGGCGTTTGAAGCTGGCTGAAAGGCTTTGCTTTGTCGCCACTTTAATTGGCTCAAATTAAAGACGAGCTGGGATTGGGTTTTATGGACACGCCGGGGAGGAGCTGGAGATGCATGGATGCAGCTGCAGTTTAGAGGCGTCGCTTTATTCCGTTGATTAATGAAGAAATTTTCCCTGGAAGCTTGCCACCTTGTTAACGACTTTATGTGTGACTATTCGCAAATAACAAAATGAGCGAGGTGAAATTAATTTTAACAAAATGTCTCATAAAATAATCAGCGAGCCATGGAAACCACTTGGCTCTGCGGACCGTAAAACAATTTAACTTGCTGTCAAATGAGTAAAATGGAAAGTGCAGGCCTCGAAAGGGTATGAAGTACGTACTCTTACGAGATAAGTCTCGCTAGCCTTCATGTAGGAAAACATAAGTACATCATTCATGGAAGTCAAATGTTTATGTACTATATATGTTAGTAAAGTTCATTGCTGTACACATACAGAACGAGAATAATATAATATATAGTTGAGTCAGTCCCGACGACAAGAACCAAAGGAAAGCAAGGAAATGTTCGATTTGGTTGGTATTTTATTAATTCCGAGTCGATCCTAATAGGGTAGTGATGACTTAACCGTGGTAGACGTGGTGTCCGTAGGTGGGAACTGCGAGGGACTTCAGCACAGGAACATGCTGAACCACTGGGACATGCTTCACCACTGGAACGTGCTGCACCACCGGCACATGCTTCACCACCGGAACGGATTTGACCACGGGCACCACGTGGGCCACTGGAACCACATGGGCCACAGGAGCCACATGGGCCACTCCGTAAGAGGGCTCGATGTAGCCAGGAGCAGCAAAAGCCATTGCCACCAGGGCGAAGATCACAGCGATCTGAAGAGATAATATGTGGTATAAACAATCCTAAGGATATTCTATATTTACTTTAACTTACGAAGCGGAACATCTTTGTGTTTTGTTTCGAACTAAAAGCTTAAGGTCTGAGGTTATTAAAGGTTTGTGTGAGCCGGACGACTGTTGTTGATGGACCATCCGTGGAATCATTATATATAGTAGTTAACACCTCAGCCGAAGCAGCTCCAAATGCCTTCTGTTCGAGTGCCACGCGCCAAACCAGTTTAATTATCTCAAATTTGGTGTCTTCGAATGATGCGCATTCTAGTTTGTTTCAACTCCAGCGGCGAACTTCCCGTTATCGGTCGTTATTGCTTAACCTTTGGACATAATCCCCACTCAATAACTCCTCAATTGTTTGCTGTTTTAGATCCGTCTGCCTATTATTGTTTACTTCCAAGACCATTGTCATTATACCGATCGGCTTCACGCGTTTGTGATGATCGCCAAGAACCAAGGTCACGACCACAAAAAGACCTATGTATATGAGGCACCTCTGGGTCAACTGATTCTATATCCATTCTATCAATTAAACAGAAGAATTATTTGAAATCATGGCTAAACTCGTTTGCCCGTTTAGAAGTCATTATCGAAGTCATTTTCGGCTATATAAAGTAACTGATCCATTGGTCAGCATCAACAGTCGTCCGACTAGCAGCCTAGTGACAATATCTCCAAGTTGTAAACTTCAAACTACAAAATACCAAAATGTTCCGCTTCGTAAGTGCAGGAAAATCTAGTAAATCCCCCGGATCGTTTATACCACATATTATCTCCTCAGATCGCTGTGATCTTCGCCCTGGTGGCAATGGCTTTTGCTGCTCCTGGCTACATCGAGCCCTCTTACGAAGTGGTTCCTGTGGCTCCTGTGGCTCACGTGGTTCCAGTGGCTCACGTGGTTCCCGTGGTCAAATCCGTTCCGGTGGTGAAACATGTGCCGGTGGTGCAGCACGTTCCAGTGGTGAAGCATGTCCCAGTGGTTCAGCATGTTCCTGTGCTGAAGTCCCTCGCAGTTCCCACCTACGGACACCACATCTACCACGGTTAAATTTTGGAAAAGATCAGTCGATAAAGTCCCGGAACGAATAAAATGCCTACGTTCGTAAAATAAATGTTATTTGTCTTACTACTATGCTACAAGGCCAACCAAATCGAAGCAAATGCACTTTAAAAGCAGCTTGTGTGCTTAATTTTTGCATGTTCCGCCAATTTTTCGCAGCCAAAAACCCATTAAGAGCCGCAACAGAATTTTCTTCGCTCTTGTCCGATCGGAAATTCTTCACGCAAGCCGTAAATGCGCCAAAATCTGGCGCACAAATAGGTTTTCCCCTGTTTTTGCTTTGCGGCTTGTAGTTTATTTGGTGCGGATCGAGTGATAAAAGCCAAATGTGCGCCTCGTTCCAGGCACCCAAAAGATACGGAGATTGAGCAGTTGCGTGGAACACATTTGGCAGGCTGTTCGGAATTGACTCCTTGGACTGACTGAAGGTGATTAATGAATGTAGCGAGGAGTGGAGTGGAGTTCAGTTGGGAAGAGTTGAGATTGAGAGTATCCGTGCGATACTTCTTAAACGGTAGTTAAAACCTAGCCAACACGCGAGAGAAAGAGTTGCAGAGTTGGCTGATGGAAATGCTTGCCGCTGGCATTGAAATCTTCTATAAAATGGAAAGGGGGGAGGCTTTTCTTGCTGACCCACTTCTGGCAGACAGAAAAATTTATTTGCCTTCGCTGACTGGCTGGGCTATCCGAGAATTGTTAACAGCAATTTAGTGATTTTTCGCTTCTTCTGCGGCGTCTCCGGCTGCTAAGTGTATTTTATTGTTTGCCAATTGCTGTTGTTGTCTTGTTAACGCTTTTTATAGCTGCTTTTTGCTTTTCGGCCAACTCTATTTGTCGAGTCTTTCTCTCCATGCAGATGTATCTCTCAGATACATTCATTAACTTGTTTGCAGTTACAGTTTCCCCGACTCCCCGTCTCCCCGTTTCCCCTCGCCGGTGATTTATGCTATCGCCAGCTTTTGTTTGTTTATTTAGACATTTCCTATGTGTTGTCACCTCAATTTTTTCCAGCACTTGCTCAACTTTGCTATTTTAATGTTACTTTTTGGCTAATTAAAATAATCAGGTAATTGTGCAGTTAGGAGGAGTGTCTCAGGTCGTCGGAGGTAGAGGAAGATTGTGTGAACATGGCAGACCTCGAATCTCGTTATGACTATGAATATGCATTGGCGCTTGATGAGCTCCCCCTTCTGCATTTTGTAATGAAGTTGAAGGCGTGCCCAGGCAATTAGTTTGCAGTTTTCCTTCGATAGAAACCTCCAGGGCTATTTTGGCACGTTGTCAGGAGGTGGAATGCTGGAATCAGGCGTTGACTCCGGCGAAACTTGTTCTCCACACCCAGTGCGCATTGAATGGAACAGGGTTTTCTATTCAAGATGGGCTCATAAATAGAATAAGTTACAGGCAGCTTTGCAGCTTTCGACTTTAATAGTTCTCACTTTAATGGATGTAGAACGCCTTAGCTGGTTCGTTGAGTTCATGGCTTTCATAGGCATGATTTACCTATTCGAGTTTATGAAAAGTTCGGTAGCACATGTTACATTCATTGAGAAAAACGCAGCGAAAGTTGTAGCTTCCACGGTTATACGCGTGTGTACTAAACCAAAGAATTGTATATTAAACTGCATGCTCGGGGTAATTTTTCTCCGATCTCTCAGTCAAATATGCGATTGATTTTCCAATCTTTCTCCTCAAACTCTTCAAGACTCCGGTGTGGCAAACTGGACTGGACGTCGATGTCATCCATATGCTTGTGGTGCGGCCGACAAATGGCAAATAAGGGAAAAACTTGTCAGCCTCGCACACGTTTCCTTCTTCTGGCTTTGGATGGCTTCTTGGAAAAGCGGGGCCAGCACAAGAATCTCTTCTATTTCCTTGGGAAATATCTCTGGCATTCGCGTTGTGCGTTGTCTTTGATTCTTATATCGAGCTGGGATTCTGGTCGCTCTCGTTTCGAAGAGAAGAGATGGGATCTTTTAAAAGGCAGTCGTTGCTCTATGATCTACTTAATGCATCGGTTTTCAGTTCGAGGCGCGTGCGAAGACCGCAAATCGATGCAGGAAATCCGATTTGTGGTAAAAGTTTTCCTTTTCTTCTGCTCCCCCAGTTTTCCCCATCTGAGTCTTGCTTCACTTTGGTAAGTTGCCGTTTAAAGTTGTTGCACTAAGCAGAAATATGTGCAAAACGGTGGTTGTGGGGCTTCTGGGAAATCAAAGCCGGTGGTCTCGAAAGGCGGAAGAGTGGGGCTTTGGGTGGGCGATAGGTGCCAAGTGTTAAGGGTTGCCGTGGGTTAATAGTCGTTAAACGTCTGCGGGGTCAGTGGCTTACCAGGGGCTAAGGATATTTGAGATGTGGTGTTTGCTCCGAGTGGCAAATGTATCTAAATGGAAGAGCCAAGCTATAATTGTAAGTAGGCGAGCTCATCGATCCTCATCAACTAAGTTCAAGCTGATCTGCTAAAAGTCAATGACAACATCATCAAACACAAACTTATCGCAGGTAAATCGATATCTTTAATTCAGCTCCATAAGCAAATATATGAGAAAGTCTCAAATATTCGCAGAAGAGGCTCTTTCGAAACACTAGCAATTCGACTCTGTCTCGTTTATTCTCTGCTTTTTCTCCACTATGACTATCATCATTAAGGCAAATCCGCAGGGGCTACAAGACAATCGGATCGATTTATGCAAATGATACTCTAATCTGCGAGCGTTTCTTCCTGTGCCCCCCCGCCATCGCGAAGAATAGCAATTCGTCATTATGGCAAACAAAGATCGAAGACCAGTTTTCACCTCAATCTAATGATGTTTACCTCATTTATCCTGATCCGCTGCGATCCGCTGTGATCCGCTTGTAATCAATCCCCATCTATCCCCAGCCAGGGGCAAGTTCAAGTTGCCAGCGCTCCACGGCGATCTCCACGGTTCCTTCATGATCTCGAGTTTCATCCTTTCCACTCCACCTGGCTTGAGTGGGTGGCTCGACATAATGGGGGGATCTGCCGTTATTCGCCTGTATCCCGATCACAGCCGCAGCTGCAAATAAAATAAGAGTCGACTTCAACACTCGACTTGGCTTAATGCAAAGTGCCGCTGAAGAGAGGTGCGTGGGTGGGCCCACATGGGAAGCCAACTGGGTCTGCGACTGAGACTCCAGATAGACTTTGGGATATCTGCACTGCCAAAAACACCCGAGTCGATTTGGAAATAAATACGAGAGCTAGTGCGCATCGCTTCCGTGAACGATATTCAACGAGATTTTAGGTTAGTCTTCAAATAATCAAAAGCACAATACCATCAACTGGGTAAAAGTATCTTTCAGTGAGCGATTGTGCTTCATTAACCGCTCACCGCTCGTTCGCCAGAGTCTCTCTTTTTGTTTGCCGCAGTTTTTGACACCAAACTTGGCGTCACTTCAAAGCCCTGGCGATTAATCTTGAGTGCTGGTGGGGAAGGAGGCAGGAGTGGGGCTTCTCCGGAGCGAGATCTTCCAGATCCGGTCGTGTCTGCAATTTGCGGGCATTTTGTTTTGCATTATCCAAGATTCTGTGCTGGCGCAAACAACAAGCAACTCATTTGCCACTTTTCACACCCTTGAAGCCGACTTTCCACTTCTCTTTGGGTAAGCTTTAGCCGCAAATGGAGGAGCAAATGGAGGAGCCGCCTCATAAATCATCGCCCAGGCCACCGGTGGGCGTCGTCCGACGTCCAATATTAGAAGTGTGCGGAGGCGCAGCTGCTCACCCTCTCGCCCCCACTCCCCTCAATTTCCCCAACTCATTGTCAGCTGCAAAGGTGCCAAAGAATTGCACAAGCTTCGCGGCTGATTTGGGGGATTTGGCCAGCCGTATGTCTGAGTGTCCATTCATATTGTTTGCCAGATTGCCAAGCGATTGTGGAGCACTGGGTCAAGCCAGTCAGTAATTCAGTCAGTCAGTCGGTGAATTGAAGTGTGAAATTCTAAGGAAATTGCTTTATTGTTCGCTGATTGAAATCAATTTGGCGTGCGAAAGAGATTTTCATATACCCGGAGATCCCGAGATCCCCGAGATCCAGAGATCCCAATCTAGTAGACTTAGTGAGACATTCCGGTTCAGGAGTTCAGTAGACTGAGCGGTTTTATGTGTATGATTAGGATTGGGTAATAATCGCTGGGGAGGAGCTTTCTAGCCATCGAAGGTAAATGGGGAGCAATGATTTGGCCAACTTCGATTATGGTTTCGCGTTCGGCAAAGTGGCAAATGTTAGTCGGTTAGTCGGTTGGGTAATCTCTGGTTACCCGCAATAACCATTAGAGGGCTGGAAATTGGGGTCAGCTGGTATTTCTCGAAATAGGTTTAGGGATCGATCGCAGCGGTTTGTAAGAAGAAGTTTCCTTGAAGATGGCTTAATTCCGATTGAGCCATACATTTTGAATCCGTTTACACGCCGTATCCAGACTTCCGTCTAAGGTTGCATCTGTGATTAATGATGAGCCATTTGAGATTAACTCAAGACCTTAGCAATTCCCCTGCTTCTTTAATCTGAACTGGTTCACTCTCAACCCCATGTTATGCAACTCTCGAGCAGAAAGCTTTGCCAATTATCAAATTACCATCGCTACCCAACGGCAATTTCTGTCTCTGTTTTCCCTCATTTCTCCTGGCTCAGACCGCCCCTCTTGCCCACCTTGTTGGCCCAATCGATCAGAGCCAATGGGCAATAACTTTGCGGCCAACGCAATGCGGCTGCAGTTCGATTATTATTCTTATTGCTTCAGCAGACTTCTGGAGCCCGCGGTCCTCATTCCCTGCCCCTTCCGCAAAATACAATATTGTTTTTTCCCGCCTCTTCGCTGTTTGTTTGCTGCTGAACAGGAGTTCAGCTTGGAGTGCCTTGATTCTTTCTTTCGATGGTTCTTTCACCGCCAAGTTGTGAACAACACGCAGAGACCACGAAAATTGGCCGAGAAAATGCGGAAAATGGTTTTGCCCGCGCCACGAAATTATGCCTCGAAATGGAAAACGCATTCTCTGTTATCATTTGCCGCGCATCTGCCGAGAACATGAAAGTTG